GCGGGGGCTCCCAAACAGGGTCCCTTCTACCTCCAGGGCTTCCTTTTCAGGCCGGAGAGCTGGTGCTTGGGGCGCCCGGAGGCTATTTTTTCCTAGGTATGTGCCCAGCTCTCCCCTCCCTCCCTCTGGCGACCTGGGGAGACCCCGTGTCTTGCCCCCACATCAGCTATCCCTCACATCCTAGGTCTCCTGGCGCGGGCTCCTATTGCCGACATTGTCTCGAGTTACCCCCCTGGCACCCTCTTGTGGCACGTGTCCAGTCAGCACTTAACCTTTGACTCCAGCAACCCAGAATACTTCGACGGCTACCGGGGTAACCCTCACCACTCTCTAGGCTTCCCATCCCTGCCACTTAGGTCCTGCCTGCGAGGGAACACCCCAGAGCTCCTGCAACATCGCCAGAAAAGTACCCAATTCTTTTTTTTCTCAAGATGTATTTATTTATGCATGCAAGAACTAGGGTAGAGGCTAGAGGTGGGGAGAGGATTCATCAGAGACAGAGCAGGGAGCAGAACAGGCAGGTTCACCTAAGCACACTGCTGAGGGGAGCAGCAGGCAGGACAGCAGAGGTCTGGGCCATGTGGGTCAGCTCCCTGGCTGGGGATCGAACTCGTGCTGCAGTGGCTGTGGATTGCTTCACAGTGCTGCACTTTAAGCCACTGTACCACCAGAGAGTCTCAGTGCCCAATTCGTAAGCACCTACCTCTCCCTTCCCACCCAGATTGGGTTTGCTGTTCAGCCGGGGGTCCCGGCCTCTCAGTGGCCTCAGTGCAGGATTTGAAACCGGTGGTCTCCGTGTTCCTCCTTCCTTGTACACCTCCCCCACACACTTAGCCCCCCGGAAAAGATTGATCTATGCTCTGTCTTTAGGATACTCCGTGGCTGTGGGCGAGTTCGATGGGGACTTAAACACTACAGGCAAGTAATCCACTTAGTCAGGAGAGGGAGTTGGGGAGTCCAGACCCATGGGAACATCTAAGCCCCTCTCCCAAACCTCCCCTGGGTGCAGAATGGGGCTTGTGAAGCTGGTACATTCAAAGAACCTAATTGGCGGGGCCCTGCTCTCCCCAGAATATGTCTTTGGTGCCCCGACTTGGAGATGGACCCTGGGAGCCGTGAGTGCCTCCTGCCCCCCCACTTGACATTCCCCAGCCTCCTCTTCCCATTCCTCAACCTAAACAACCCCCCCAAACAAACAAGTCAAACAGATCTCCTGCCCTTTCTCACTCAGAGTAGAAGCCCGTGGGGTGGGGGGCAAGAATGACTTGTTACTGTCCTTTGTCCTCACAGGTGGAAATTTTTGACTCATCTGACCAGAGGCTACACCTGGTACATGGAGAACAGGTCTGGCTCAGTGGAGGTACCTGGAGGATTAGGGTCTGCTCTGCAAGACGTTGGAGCGGGGGTAACACCCAAGTGAGAGTGCCAGGTCAGGGTGGAGGGTGGGGGCCGAGGCATCCCTTGTCTTCCCACAGATGGCTTCGTACTTCGGGCACACGGTGGCCGTCAGTGATGTCAATGGAGATGGGTAAGGAAGGGTGCCACTGTCTCTTACTCAGTTGGGTCTCGATTTCCAGGGGCACAGACCTCCCTCAGCTCTGCCTTTCCTAGCCCCCACTCCCATGAAATCACCAAAGGGAGAGGGGAAGGTGAGGGAGCAACCACAGAGGCACGCCCTAGCCCCCCTCTGCCCCTCCGGCCTGCAGGAGGCATGACCTGCTGGTGGGCGCGCCCCTGTACATGGAAAGCCGCGCTGACCGCAAGCTGGCCGAGGTGGGGCGCGTGTACCTGTACCTGCAGCCTCGAGGCCCCCACGTGCTGGGTGCCCCCAGCCTCCTGCTAACTGGAACACAGCTTTATGGGCGATTTGGCTCGGCCATCGCGCCTCTGGGTGACCTCAACCGGGATGGCTACAACGGTGAGGAGCTCTGCTTGCCGCAGAGGGGTTATCAGCCCCCCAGAGCTTGGGGCAGCAGGAGCCAGAAAGGGCTTTAAGCAGAAGGGACCCCTTGGACATGTCGTTTTAACACTTGGGCTGCTGAGTGGAAAACAGGAGAGTGAAAGGAGTCCAGTGAGGATGTGCTTGCTTTAGTCCAGGTAAGACATAGTGACCTTTTGAATGTGGATCTTGCCAGTGGATTTAGAGATTATTGTGACTTCACAGGTATTTAATATATATAGTTTATATATAGGTATTCAATATATAGTTTATTGGGGCACAATGTGGGGTTAAGGAACAACATGGAGTCGGGGGTCATGCATTAGTGTGGGGTGGTGAGATGGGAGAGACCAGCTCAGCCCTGGATGTGTTCGAGCTTGAAGGGCTTGAGACCAGGAGGCAGGCGTGTCTGGAGAACAGCTGGGCAGAGGGGACCAGTGCTTAACGGGTCTTGCTTCCATAATCTCCTGGGGCTCCGTCCTGTCATCTAGCGCAAGAATAATCATGCCTCATCTTCATAATTAAGTGAAATCGTGTCACTGTTTTCCTTGCAAGGTAATGAGAGCTGTTAGTCATTCCACAGGTCTCTTTCCCACCCATCTAGAGGGCAGGGCAGCTGCCTCCTGACTCAGGCCTTCGCAGCCCTCTCCTAGCACTGGGGTCTGCCCAGGGAGCCTGAGTAACAAAAAGCTGCTCCCTTCCTCCTGCCCCTTCCAGATGTTGCCGTGGCTGCCCCCTATGGGGGGCCCAGTGGCCGGGGCCAAGTGCTGGTGTTCCTGGGTCAGAGTGAGGGCCTCAACTCCCGGCCCTCCCAGGTCCTGGACAGCCCCTTCCCCTCAGGCTCTGGCTTCGGTTTCTCCCTGCGAGGTGCCACAGACATCGATGACAACGGCTACCCAGGTAACCCCGGCTGCCTCCAGCTCCACAGCCAGGCCCAGCATCAGCTGGAAATGCTGACACAGCCTCGGGCTTGGGCTTGGCCTGGTGTCCCACTGAGAGCTCTGACCCATCTGAGGGGGTGAGGTGCGAGAGGCAGGCAGGTTAAACCTCCAGTGGGGAAAATGGTGTGTGTGGGAACCACGGGAAGACGAGCTGAGGCCCATAGCCCCTGTCTACCTGCCATTTCTCACCTCCTGCTGCTCCCCTGTCTATAGATCTACTGGTGGGAGCTTACGGGGCCAGCAAGGTGGCCGTATACCGGTGAGCATGGCTCCAGGGGCTCCACAGGGCAGGGGTGGGGACACGCTGTCAGACGTGGCTGGCTGCAGGGGCCACCATGGCAAGAATCTCCCATCCCTCCAGAGCCCAGCCAGTGGTGATGGCCACTGTCCAGCTGCTGGTGCAAGATTCGCTGAATCCTGCTGTGAAGAACTGTGTGCTGAGCCAGACCAAGACGCCAGTGAGCTGGTAAGGAGACAGGGGGCCTGGGACAGACAGGGCCCCTCAGGTAGTGGGAGCCCAGGCCCTGAGCCCCGTTCGTGTCTCTGCAGTTTTAACATCCAAATGTGTGTGGGAGCCACGGGCCATAACATTCCTCGCAAGCTGCGTGAGTGATGCCGCATGGTGGGAGCAGGAAGAGGTGGGCCTGGGCCTCCAGGTCAGCCAGGGACACCCTGTCCTGCCCGCTTGCCCTGGCAGGCGTAAGTGCCGAGCTGCAGCTGGACCGGCAGAAGCCCCGCCAGGGCCGCCGCGTGCTGCTGCTCAGCTCCCAGCAGGCGGCCACCACCCTGCGCCTGGACCTGGGCGGGAGGCACAGTCCCATCTGCCACAACACCACTGCCTTCCTCCGAGTATGTCCGGCCCGTGGAGCGCAGGGGGGCGTGGGGAGGCGCTGCTCTTGCCTGAGGTGGGGTTGGGCGCTACAGGCCCCTGGGGTCCTTGGGACCAGGATGGGGTGCAGAGAAGCGAGAGGACCTGAATTTTGTCCCCTCTGCAGGATGAAGCTGACTTCCGGGACAAGCTGAGTCCCATCGTGCTCAGCCTCAATGTGTCCCTCCAGCCTGAGGAAGAGGGAACAGCCCCCGGGCTCGTGCTGCATGGAGACACCCATGTCCAAGAACAGGTGGGAGTGGGCAGGACCCCCTTGATGTCACCTCTGATCTGTGATGTCACTCGAAAGCCCTGACAAATCTCAATTTCCCCTAAGCCCTGATGTCAACGTCAATGCTGATGTCACCTCTGAGCTCTGATAGAAACCCATAAAGCCTAGGGTCGCCCCCCCCAACCCTAACACCATCCCAAATATGATGCACACCCCCAAAAGCCACTCTGTCACTTTGCAACGTCTTTCATCCTCAGAACCTCCCATCCCCTAAGCCTCAGGGTGACCCTCAGCCTCACCTACTCCCATTTTACCCACAAAACATTGCTATTCTAGACCCGAATCATCCTGGACTGTGGGGAAGATGACCTGTGTGTACCCCAGCTCGAGCTCACCGCCAGAGTGTGAGGAGACCTCCTGCTCTGCCCTGCATGGGCCCTGTCTGCCCGGGGCACCCCTCTCCGCCTGGTCCTGACACCCTGCCCTGAGCCCCTTAGCTCCCCTCAGACCCCGGGCCTGATCAGCCCCCTCCACTTCACTCCCTTCTCCCCACAGGGCGGGCTCTCCACTCCTGATTGGAGCCGATAACGTGCTGGAGCTGCAGGTGGAAGCGGCCAACGACGGGGAGGGGGCCTACGAGGCCGAGCTGGCGGTGAACCTGCCCCCAGGAGCCCACTATATGCGGGCCCTCAGCGACATGGAGGTGAGCGCCCGGGAGGGGGCGCCGGCGCTCCCCCCCAGAACACCCACTTCTCTCAGGCTGCGCTGTCAATGCTGTGCTTTGTTATTTCTTTACTTTGGAAGAGGAGCACTAGCACAGAACTCCCCAGCACAGCTGACTCGGGCTGTGGTGTGAGCAGGAGCCTCCGGACACCCGGTGGCTTCCTCCCCTGATGCGGACTCCTGTCTGTCTGCTCTTGTTGCCGATAGCGGGGGACCTTACTTTTTGTGTTCTATTTCCAAAATTAATTTTTAAGAAAGGTGCTACATAACCTTAAAGGAAAGCACGACAGTCCGTGAGTTCCCACCCCAAGGCACCCCCTCGCACCTGCCTGCACGCAAGTCTCTCCCAGGGGAGCTTAGATACGCACGCAGCGTCTAACCACCTTCCTCAATCTGCCTCCCGAAGGGCTTGGAGAGGCTTATTTGTAACCAGAAGAAGGAGAACGAGACCAAGGTGGTGCTGTGCGAGCTGGGCAACCCCATGGAGAAGAACGCCCAGGTGGGCCCGGCCTGGGTGCGGGGTCCTGCGGAGGCTGGGTCCGCCCTCGTTAGCTCTGGGCTGGGGCCCGGTCCTTTCACACCCCAGCTGTGTGTTCTTGGGGGGAGCTGCAGCCTCTCTGCACGGGCTTCTGAGTGAAATGGAGATAATAATGGTGACCCGTAACACTGCGACCCTGGAGAGCGAGAACCAGGGCTTTGGGGCAGGCTGCCCAGAGGGGGCTTCAGGCGGTGACCTTGGCGCTCCCGGCTCTCAGATAGGAATTACCATGCTGGTGAGTGTGGGGAACCTGGAGGAGGCTGGGGAGCACGTGTCCTTCAGGCTGCAGATCAGGAGGTACTGCACAGGGAGCCCCCCCCCCCCCCCCGCCGAGCCCCGGCCTCTGCTAGCTGACTTGCTCCTCCTCACCCCGCCCGCCAGCAAGAACAGCCAGAATCCAAACAGTGACACGCTGCTTCTGGATGTGCCCGTCCGAGCCAAGGCCCACGTGGAGCTGCGAGGGTGAGGCCCGGGGTGCTTGAGGGAGGGCAGGCAGTCGCCTGAGTTTCTGGACTGTGTGGGGGGGACCCCACAGGCAAGTCAGGGAACCGAGCTCCCTCTGGGGTCGGACCCCAGGAACTCTTTTCCAGCTTCTCTGGTGGTGGCAGCCGAAGGCAACAAGGAAAATGGTTCTGACAGCTGGGGCCCCAAGGTGGAGCACACCTATGAGGTGGGCGGTGCCCACATCCCCTGGTGGGGGTGCGAGGTCGGGGAGCAATGGACTAGGACAGTGCTGAGTCGTCAAACCTCCCCTTGCCCTCCCTTGCTCCCCCGCTCCCGTCCCCAGCTCCACAACAACGGCCCTGGTACTGCCAGCGGCCTCCGCCTCATCCTCCAGCTGCCAGGCCAGTCCCGGCCCTCGGACCTGCTCTACCTCCTGGATATACAGCCCCAGGGGGGGCTTCAGTGCTCCTCACAGCCCTCCCCTGACCCCCTCAAGGTGAGAGGCCGGGGGGAAGAAAAGCTGGGGAATCCCCTCAGACATCACCCAGGACCTAGGGTGGCTGGGGGTGGGGGGCAGGAGGGCAGACCCTGACGGAGGCTTCTTTGCCCCCAGCTGGACTGGAGGTTGCCCACGCCCAGCCCTTCCCCAGCCCACCCCCATCACGAGCGGGAGCGCAGACATGTGGCACCGCCCTGGCAGAAGCAGCCCTCGCGCTTTCAGGACCCCGTCCTGGTGGTGAGCAGGCCCTGTGACCCCCACGAGGCCGCCCTGGGTGCCAGGGCCAGAGGCCTGGGAGGCGGAGAGCGGGCTCGGGGTGTCACGTGGGCCTGGTCGGGCCACTTTGGCCCCGTGGAGCATCTGAGTGATATAAAGGGGTGTGTCCCGGATGGGGTCCAGGACACCTGCCTTTTCTAAGGTCCCCAGCGCCTCTCCCATGCCCCCGCCCAGAGCATGTGCACAGCTCCACTGAGAGATAACGTATGAAGCTTGAATCTGAGACCCTTGCTGAGGGGGAGACCTGAGCTCCCTGGCCCCTGCCGCCTCATGTTGGGTTCCTGGGGCAAGGGACTGATGACAGGGGGGGCTGGGGACTAACAACATATGTACCCCTCAGAGCTGCGACTCGGCACCCTGTACTCTGGTGCAGTGTGAGCTGCAGGAGATGGCGCGGGGGCAGCGGGCCATCGTCACCGTGCTGGCGCTGCTGTGGCTGCCCCCCCTCCACCAGGTGGGCTGCTGGGGTGGCGGGGCCTTCCGGAGGCAAAGACCCCATACACTCTGGGGAAAGTCAGGACTCCAGCAGGCAGAAAGAGTGAGGGCAAGGTTTACTTTGGGGGGCACAGGATTAACCCAGGGGCAGGGCCGCTGGGGGTGAGGTGTCTGGGTCTTAGACTCCTGCACCCATAGGCTTTGCGTAAGTAGCTCTCATCCCCATCCCATCCAGAGACCCCTGGATCAATTTGTGCTGCAGTCACGTGCCTGGTTCAACGTCTCCTCCCTCCCCTACCCGGTGCCAGCCCTCAGCCTGCCCAGAGGGGATGCGCTGGTGAGTGGGAAGTGGAGGCTGAGGAATGGGTTCCCCTGGGCCCTTTGGCCTTCCCCTGAGTCTGCACCCAGCAGGAGGGGGCCGGCTCCCCTGTGTCTGAGGGGTGCGCAGGTAGGTATTCCCGGCAGGTTTGAGGGTTTGGGAAAAGATGGAGGAGATGCTGGTTTGCCCTTAGGTCCAGACTCAGCTGCTTAGGGCCTTGGAGGAGAGGGATATTCCCATCTGGTGGGTGCTGGTCGGCGTGCTGGGAGGCCTGCTGCTGCTCACGCTCCTGGTCCTGGCCATGCGGAAGGTGAGGCGTGAGGGCGTGGGGTTCCCAGGTGGGCAGAGGCCTGGCCCTGCCCCACCTCACAGCAGGGCAGAGAGTGACATCCCCAGGGAGGTGATACGTCTATATCTCTACTAGACTGTCACTCTCCAGAGGGACTCTTCCAGGCCACAGATTTCTGGACGTTACAGGCGTTAAAGCTTTTAGACTCTTTATCTGCTCAGAGGAAGAGTCATAGAGATTGAGTTCTGCCCTAAGAACTTCCAGAGGAGGACTGAATTGGCCTCCCCAGGACCACCTCCCCTGAGGTGGAGAGCCAGGTCTGGGCAGGCCTGCTCCTGCTCCTGTGAGCCCTGGGGCCTCTCCTCTCATGGCTGCAGGGCAAGTGGACCTCTCTACTCAACCAAGTGCAGACCCCTGGGCAGCCAGAGAGTGTTTGCAGAAACCCACGTGGAAGATTGTCACAAACATATCACGGCAGTCAGTCACAGAGAGGCGTGGCAGTGTTAAAGGAAACTCTGGGGGGAGGAGTTTCAAAAAGGAAACATTCATGGGAAAAAAACCACAAATTAAAAAACAAAGCAATTAAAAAAAAAAGATGCCTTACCATACACACACACACACACACACATATGGTCTGCTTCAATAGTCTTTATAATAGTTACAAATTTGTAGCTATATCTGCTCTTCATATTTGTGTTATTAAATATTGGCTTTTTCACCTTAAAAAAAAAAGCAGAAAACCTCGTTCCCGCATTATGGCTCAGTGAGGAAGGCCTTCATTTGTGCCTGCAGTGGGTCCGGGGCCACGGGAAGGCCCGGGGCTGGCTGGGTTCTAACATACTCACGCCATGCGTGCTCTGGAGCCTAAGAATCACCTTTATGCCCTGCCCCTGGCCCTGTGCACCCCCAGGCCGGCTTCTTCAAACGGAATCGGCCACCCCTGGAAGACGAGGATGAAGAGGAGTGAGGTATAGCCAGCCTGCCCTTACTGAGGGCGTGAGGGCCCGCCCTGCCCCTTGCACTCCGTGGAGGCCTCTGATGCCCCCCAACAGAGCTGGGCCCCCTCTTGACAGTTGCCTAATAAAGTGACTAATCCCCACACTCGCCTGCTGCCTCCTCCTGGGGTCAGAGGAGACCTGTGGAGCAGGGGTCTAGCTGCTAGGAGCATGAGCAGGGAGACTACAGCAGTTACAAGCGGCTGTCTTGTGAGTGTTGGGCAGCAGAGCGTGAGGCAGGGCAAGGGGGAGGGTGGCAATCCTGCGGGTGAGGCGGGAGTGTGTGCGTGGGGTGGGGCTGGGAATGTCAGGGGCCGACTGGGCCGCGGTGGGCGGCTTTAGACAGTTTTGCTTTTTCCAGATTTTGGAGGGATAAACCTCAAAATGCCATGAAATTTGGGGAAGGAACATGCTCTTCCTCACTCATTATAAAAGAAAAGGCTGGGCCCTCCCTGGTGGCTTAGCAGGTTAAAGCGCAGCACTATGAAGCTGCCCAGAGCCACAGGAGCACGAGTTCAATCCCTGGCCAGGTCCAGCCGCCTCTCCCGCTGCTCCCCTCAGCAGTGTGTTTCCGTTGATCTGTTCTGCTCTCCTCTCTGTTGATCTGTCCTGCTCTGCTCTGTCTCTGGTGAATCCTCTCACCCCCCCCCCCACCTCTGGACTGTACCCCAGCTCTTATATGCGTAAGTGGATGAATCTTTAAAAGAAAAAAAGAAAGTGGGAGCAGCCAGTGAAAGTGAGAGCGGGCCTGTCGTGTAGGTGGCTGGAGGAGGGAAGGGGGGTGGCTGGAGGAGGGAAGGGGAGCAGCAGGAGATGAGCGGAGGAGGGCTGGGCAGGGAGAACCTGGCCACAGGTAAGACTTTGGACTTGATAATAAGTGCTGGGAACTTATGGGCAGGTCTCACAGGAGCTGCTTGTATTTGATTTTACCCAAAGGGGTAAAAGGTAAATCCATTCCGAAAATAGAACAATTTGCCATCCATGCTTGGCAAGTTCCAGAACAGGTTTCGAGTTGGGTGACTGAACACTTAGGAAAAGATTAAGCTGCCATCTTTGAACGCCAGCCAGGCTCCTTCTCCTGGCCACTGCATTTGGAGGCCCCAGATAATTTATCTTGATCCAGCAAAGCCTTTGGCACTTGTCCTTATAGATGTGACAAATGTGAGCTGCAGAACAGACACTCGGATTTAAATCTGAACAGTTTGATGAGGCTGAAGGTCTCCGTGAGGGTGTCCCAAAACTCTGTCTCGGTCCTGGGCTGCCCGGTATTGTCACTAGTCCCTTGGATGGAGGCAGAGGAAGCTGGTCTTCACCCTACAGACAACTGCTGACTGAGAGGCAGTGTCAGTAGGATGGGACTGAAGCAGATTCACGGCAGTCTTGACAGATTGTAAAGTTGGGTTGCAACCAACGGGATAGAAGCCACCAGGGATGAGTGCTGAATCCGGTGCTGAGCTTCAAATTGGTTACATAAGAATTGGCCTGTAGTATCTGGTAAGATGGAAATTTATGAGAAAGGGAGAGAGAAGGAGAAATGGAGAGAGAAGGAAGGGAGAGAGAAAGGAGGGTAGGAGGAAGGAAGGAAGGAACCTGGCGTTTTTTCTCTCCCTCCAAAATGAATAGGTCCCCTAGAGCCAGAAGGCCCAAGCAGGCAACTCAGGCAGGAGTTAAGCCTGCTGTGAGTCTAAGGGCCCAGGTCCTCGCCCCAGGTAAGCCTGCCCTGCCGCCTGGGTACCACATTGTGAGAGAGGCCGGGAGAGGAGGGCAGATTAGAGGAGGGTGTAGACACTCAGAAGCCCAGTGATCACGCCCACCAGAAGCAGGAAGGAAACAGTTTTATTTTTCTGGGGCTAGAACAGACCAATAACTGTCTTCAAATGGGGGCTTCCATGACTGAGGAAAAAGAAAATGACAGGGTTTGCCACTCCGAACCAGAACCAGTGGGACCAGCTGGTGCTTCTCAGCGGGAGAGAGGGGCTGTCTCCATCTCTGGAAGGATTTCCTCAAATCATGACTGCCCAGCGACAGATCGACTTACCCGAGGCCACGGTGGCACCGTTTATTGCCCCCTACTCTTGTCAGGCATGTGCTACATCATCTCACTTAATTTTTACCACCACGCGACGGGTGAGCGTATGGTTACAGCTCTCCCTGTAAAGCAGACAAGAAGACGAGACCCGAAGACCGCCTGTGTAGCTTGCTCTCGGCTTAATAAGAGGGAGCGGGGAGACAAGAACCCCTACTGCCTGATTCCGCGGGGGCTACCGGGACCTCCCCAGCGTGGGGGCAGGGGTGTTAGCGCAGTTCTTACATTTTTGGGACACACTCATGGCCATACCACCCAAGAGCGCGTGTCGTAAACAAGAGCCCTCCTCCTCCTCGGAAATTCTGCGGCAAGTTCTGGGCCCCTGGAAGCCTAAGCCCTGGGGTGACTGGCCCTCCTCGCTGTACTCCCTCGCAGCCCAGGGTCCAGGGGTGGGGGCCGAGGGCTGGGCTGAGAGCGCGCGGGCGGGAGCCGGCGC